TTACCGATCAAGAGAGTCTGCTAAAATGTTTGTGATTTTGCAATTTAGGGTTTTTAGTCATGCTAGCTATGGGAGAACTACTTGATAGTGATTTAGTTCACTTTTTAGTAATCGCGCAGGGGCATGCAACTGTTTTAGTGTTTGGGTCTTAGTCTTTTTATTAGGTTTGATTTTATATTTTTAACTTCGTCTTCTTTATGTCTATACTGTATGTAATTTTTTTTTCTGTACTTATTTTGTTTTATCCATTGTAAATTCGACCTGCGAAATAATAAATGAAATGAAATGAAATCAAATCAAATTTTTGAAAGGCATGTACAGCACAACAACATTACACAAATTTTTTTGGCCTAATAAAAGACTGCATGATGTATGCAGTAGGCCTTAGTTAAATAAATCTTTGGCAAGTGTTGATCCAATTCAATCAAGCAAATTTATGGCATAGCCTGCCCTGATCATGCTGATCAGACAAACTAAAAAAAAAGTACGTATCTTTTTGAGTGAAAAACAGCAGGCTGGTCTACATGTAGGCTGCAACTCATTTCTGTGATCGACCAGCGATGATCAAGACAGAACTTTTTTGTTTTTATAGGTGACTGCATGATGAAGATGCACGTTGCGTACATGTACATGCATGCAGACCCATGCATTAATACGTATAAAACCGACACCGTGCAAAGCGCTGTGGATATGTTGATTTTCAGATTTTTTTGGCATAGGCTAGTGACATCTCTGATAAGTAAAATACATGTACAGCCAAACTCAAACCAACGCCAGAACCCAACACTGAGCGCCCATTCTGTGTGCCACCCTCCTTTATAATCTGAATTATGACCTTAAATGTTTTAGTGACCCAAATCCAAGTGGCCTGTCCAGGTTCTTGGTCAAGGTGAGACAAAACGGGAAGCTTTTTCAGAAACGATGGTCCAAATGTTTTTTGCTCTTTGAATTCCTTTAAAAAATGGAGCAAATGTCTTTCAGAGGGCAACTTGCTCCTATCCCATTATCACTGTCAAGTCTTCATCTTTATCTAATAGAGTGTTTGGATTATTCCTGTCTCATTATTGCATGTTGAATCGATTCTTGCAAGAAAATTTGCATGTGAAGACATTTTTTGGGTTCAGAATATTTTTAATTTCCATTTTGACAACTTTCTCACTTTGGATTTCATTTTGGAATGTTCGGTTGGTACAAAATGTTTGCAACTTTAGACAGTTTTATGTAAGAAGTTCCACAATGTCTATTCATGTTGGACAGCCTAGCAAATTAAGGAAGATTGTTGCAAGAATGAGAAAAGCTTGTTTCAGATGTCTACATCTAGCAAATAAAGTTTAATTTTAATGGGGCTGGATGGTGAGTGAAAAGAAATCTGTGCATATCCCCATAGACGGAAGGATTTTACTATACCTGTGTGATGTCTGACCCTGCAGGTAAGTGTGACAGTCAAGCAGTCCTCTGGCAGTGATTTCAGTTTGGAGTTGGACCTGGCCCACAAGATCATCCCCGCCAAGTGCACCACCAAGATCATGTCGGTGAAGGTTGGTCACTGTGTTTTTGTCATGTTTTCTCAGCCTCCTTGCTGCGATGATTATGCACATGTTGTGGGCTCTCTATAAAGTTTTGATGACCGTCTTCACTTTTTAGCACAAAAGTAAACAGTGAAATCATAAAAAAAGGATTTGTCCAGCAACAGCGCTGGACCCTCAGTTGTTGATGTTGGCCAGAATTTGACATGTGAACGATTTGCCACCTATAAACAGATTGAGCTGAAATTGGCCAAGGAGGAAAGCTTGATGTGGAGCAAGCTGGAAGGAGAGGATACCCTGGCCACCAAAACAACTGTAGACCAAGGTGAACTTTGCTGAGTTTGGAATCAAGCAGCGGATGCAATCGGGCCAGTTTGACTGAAGGGTGCAGCCCTCAAAAACTTCCTCATTCCTGCTTGATGTGGCTTTTTATATTAAAGCTGAGGCTTTTCATGAATGTTCATATTAGCTTTTCAAAGTGTAACTTTAAGACATTTTTCTCAAATCAGATCCTGAAAACTGGTAAACCTCTTAAATGTCTGTGTCCAGTTGTTGCACTTTCTAAGAAACTTTTAAATTTTGCACTCATTATGAAACTAATAATTAAATATTGCCTGTTCTAAAATACATGTAGCAAAGGATTTAATTAGAGTCCTTAATTTTTTGCATTGTTGTTGAGCAATATGTATATGTATGAGGATGTACATGTATGACTGATAATTAAATAATTAAGATGTGGACGGGAAATGGCAGTAGGAGGAAAGTTATATGAAAAATCTCAGGATGTTTTTTAATAAATCTGTGCTTGCCAACCTTTAAACGGTCAGACAATAATTGTCCTTTGACGCCATTTTTTTTTATATTCACAGATGTCAAAGACACTGTGCACAAGTACCCTACATCTAGCCACGTGACTCGGAACTGGGACAAGATCGGCCGAGAGGCAGAGGAAGAGGAGAAGGAGTCGGCTGAGGGGGAGGCTGCCCTCAACCAGCTCTTCCAGAAGATCTACTCGGATGCCTCAGATGACGTCAAGAAGGCCATGAACAAGTCATTTGTGAGCAGCTTTTCTGTTGGTTTTTCTCTGCCCTATTAATTTTGGCATCTTGGCAGTAGTGGCAGAAAGTCACAGCAATGCGGAATTGGCCAACAGTGGAGCTGCAGATGGGGGCCTTGGTCCCTTTAACAGTGGGAGCCTTGTTCCCTTTAACAAGTTGTTCTAGGTGGTTTAGCTCCATTCCTATTCCATGTGCAAGCCACTAGAACCATGTATTAATTCTAATAAAAATAAATAGAATGTATTACATCTTCATTTTCAAGAAGCCACATTGAAAACCACTCCCACTTCCCACACAATTTATTTCTTACAGTCTTTTTACATTTTCTCCACAGACTGAATCCGGTGGCACCGTCCTGAGCACCAACTGGCAGGAGATTGGTGCCAAGAAAACAGACATTAAACCACCAGATGGAATGGAATACAAAAAATGGGACACCTAACAGTCATTGGCCAGTGTAAATAGTAGAAAGGCAACATGTTGAAGAAGTGGCACTGTTAAACTCTCGTATCTAGACCAAAGAGGCGAAACCTTCCGGTCAACTGGTCACAACTAAATGTCTAGGTAAAAAAACAAGGCTGAACTTCTGCCGAGTCAAACTGGTCAAAACCTTCCTGTCAAACCTCCTTCTTGTCAAGGTTAAAGCAAGGCCAAATCGCTGCAGTCTCAGTCAAACTGGTCAAAACTTTCCTGTCGAGGTCAAAAATACGGTCAAACCTCTATGATCTGAGTCAAACTGGTCAAAACTCTCCTTTACAAGTCAAAGCAAGATCAAAACTGTGGAAAAAAACATAGGAAGCCAGTTGCTCCTCCTCCCAAGAATTGAATCATTTTGCTGGAAGGAACCAAACAGTGTTAGATTTTCATTGCATGGATATCATTTTAGCTTCATTTTACTTCATTTACTCGAGGAAATAGTTCTCCAATTATCCTGTAAATAGTGCAACTTTGTTCCATGTACAGTTTTCTAATTTCAGTTTGATTGAAATTTTAACGTGTAAATTAATTTGTAGAGGGGTACAATTCTGGAGGAAAGGGTACTTGTGACCTCCACATTGAGGAAACAATTTGATGAGAGAAGACCTCTTCACAACTCTTCCTGGATCCCACCATGGACTTAACCAGAGCCAGAATAAGAACCAAGGAAGACAGATGAAGTGCCGAAAATAGAGGATTCCTCAACAAACAAATCAATGTATTCTTCCTCAACAAACCAAATCAATTTATTCTCAAAGTGAATCCACTTCTTCATACCGATAAGTTATTTTTTCAAGGCTGAATGCAAAAATTACAATTTGAAAAGTAATACATATGCACTTGCAGTTGTTTGTAATTACATGAAGGGAAAGGTGGATGCAGGTTGTAAAATTCACCCAGCTTTGCTTTGCCTATTTACTTTGATGAAAAAACGTACTAAATTTGTCCATGTGATGAATGTTCACTTGAATTGATTTTGGACTGGTGTGTTACAGTGAAATTGAAAACATTATGTCCTTTTTGTATAGACTTGTCTTTTCTGTCAGCCTAGTGACCCTCACTGTTGACCCTTCTGTGTCCATAATGAACCGTTTCAAATGTGCAAGAAGTCTTCTAGTAAGATGAATGTTCAAAATTCCATAAACTGTCCTCACATTTTGTATTTCTTGCAACAATAAACTTTTTAAAAATGCTTTATGAAATATTGCTTTTATTTCTCGGAACAGACACTATTCTGATGGTGGTATTGGATGGAGAAATGTTAAAGAAATGGTATGAACAAAACTACATGAGTGGCCAGTAATGTAAACAATGGGGTCCATCTACATCTATATAGAACTGGGAAAAATTGCCGAGGATTCCAGTCGTGATTTTTGACCGTCAGCGTTCAATTTACACAGAAACACGCCTTCGAAGTCTCCTAGAAATGTGTACTGAAAGTTGCCGTAAGAAAGATGCATGTTCAAAGGCACCTGCCACTGCGGACTTTGAACATTTCCTGAATTGCCTTTGTCCATCAAGTGACGTCTTGTGAAAAAAACCTATATACATGAACTGTATGTGAATAATATACCACCCAGTGCTATGTTTGCACTGCACAGTCTGTAATTTTTTAGATGTTGGCATCTGATGTCCACAAATTACAATCATTTCAAGCCTTTGTTCGACATCAACATGGCATTGGCTACAGGTCAAGCTTGAAACGTCAAGAAAAACTTCAGGGAGCAGTTCCATGTTTTACAGTACGACTGAGACACACTAGCAACTCCATCCAACACAGCTCACCTGTTCATATCTAGGCCTAATTGCATCCATTTTGGTGGTACCGTGGGGTCCTTGTATCAACTTGTGACATACAAAACCTGTCCACTTGGACTGTGGCGTCTGCTGCATTTCAAGTCTGGAAACACTCCTGAGGCATTCTGTTCATGGTGGCATTCTTTGGCAAAGCTCTGCCTCCAACTGATTGCCAAGAGTTCTGGCACCTAGCCATGATTGCATCTGAGTTCATCCAAAACCAGCCTATCAATGTTCACTCCTGATATCTGAAGCAGTCACTGGCGATCTTCCAGACGCCGCCTTGTGTTGTCAACATGAAATTTTCCGTAAAAGTGAAAGTCTCCTTTGTCCCTTCAAACTTGACTCTTCCTCCAACAATGACCATTAGAGATGTCTGACCTTGTGTAACAACACCTGAAGAACAAAAAACAGGCAAAATAATATTTTGAAGTCTAATTACTGGGAACTGTTTATGTATACAGAGGTGAAATATGGATACAGACATTAAACACAAAATTGTATAATACTTGGTATTGGTTGGCAGTCAAGTGAGTCAATGGTGTGTTCGCTGGTTGGTAACTGATCCAGGAATTTCAGGATAGCTTCACAGCCTTGTAGTGGGTTACCATTCCACACCATGGTAGCTGAATCCATGTATAATTTATTCAGCATCTAGAAAAAAAACACATGTAACAATTGCCGGTAATATTTGCTGATTACTCATTCAGGAAAGAGCTCCTGTTTTAAAATTTGAACTTGCTTCATGTACTCTGACCTAGTTTAAAGTAGGCCTAGTGTTTGTAGAGGACAAACTTAAAATCTTTGATTATCACCACTTTTGAGAGTGAAAAATGCCGGCAATGCCCAGCAGCCTGGTCTTTTGTTCAGAGTACGGTCTTTTGTTACAGGGCCCTGTTTCCTTTGTCCGAGTTCGGAGACCCCGGCCATGCATATAAACCATACGGCTCCGATTTCGGAGTCCCCGGCAGGAAGTGGTTAATCAAAAATGAGAAGAAAAGACCATCAGCCATGTAAGGCTATATGTATCATAAAAATGTAAAGAGCTACATGTGTACTGTAGCGTAGTCTGGTTAGTCTGGATTTCTGTTCCCCCTAGGACTACAGGTTCATCATATTACACACCCACGTTTGGGGAAGGGGGTCCACTCATTCTAGAGGTAGATTTCTGAACCCTTGTCTAAAGAAGAAGAGTAAAAACAGGCTACTTACGTTCCTTCTCTTATCAAATTTTTCATAGTACAGCTTATGGAATTCTTTACCAGCAAGCACAGCTTGTTCAAGCTGCAATTTGAGATCCTACAATGAAAAGACAAAAAAAAAAGGTCTTAGCCTATAAATACAATAGCCTAGGCTTAATCGTACTCTCAGTTACTACAAGTACAAACCCCCTAAAAATACACGACTGGGATATGTTCCAAGTACGGACAACACTGATTTTCCCTTAAAATCTTGTAACAGCCATCAGAAAGTGACAAGGTCCTAAAAATTTAGCTAAGAAAACTCATTTACAACATTTCCTTAGAATACACAAAGGCCATGAGAATAGAAGTTGTAGATTTGCATCCACAGCCTACATGTCCTGATGCCACTGCCCCCAAAAACCCTTTTTTACAAAGGTTTTATAATTTGTAAGAGGACACAAAATCTCAAAAGATGTGGATGGCTTTCGTATGTCCAGATGTCTGCTTGAGCTATGGCCAACCCACGTCAGATTGGCTCGCACCTTTATTTTGTACAGTATACTACAGGTCATTTTATTATAATGATCCCTATTTGACCTGATCCTGCTGGGGGTGTAGCTCATCCTCAGCAAGGCTTTTGCCTTGGTTGTTGTTTGTCAGTATTAAACTTAACTGGAAGTCTGTAATAATAAACGAATGAATAATGAAAAAGGGAACAAAATTCCTCCTGTGTCTTTTTGAAATTGTTAGGATGCAAATCATATCTTCTATTCTCATGGACTTAGGATATTCAGACAAGTCTGTGTTCTTATTCCTCCATCATGTGACCATGGTCTCATTTTGTACACAGTCACAGGGGTATCAAGTTGTTCGTTTATTATTTAGAACTCTTTCCCTGTACAACATGACTTTTAACGTACTCAATCATTTCGTCTAGCCCGTGCTATTGGGGATTGTAAATTTGGGGACCCTGTTCCTATACGATAATAGAAAAGAGAGCTACATTTTAACTTTTGAATTCATCTTCATGACCACTGGCACTGTGACATCATTCATGCTAACTGGAGGGTTGTCAAAAAAGGGCAGGTTTTTAGGTTTGAGGGAAATTGTTTCATAAACACATGACACGTGGTGAATTCAAATTCGTATGGCTAGTTAATCTGTGATAAAGTCACATTTTCTCACAAATTACAAATTTCCAAAAAATTAGCCCAGCGTCAGTCAGCACGATAAAACTTAAGTTATGACTCAGTGACAGGGACAATGCATGAGGGAGGAAAACAGTGAGTGGGTGAGCGTTGCTCAAGTTTTTCTGGGGGGGGGGGACTTAACCAGTTTTGCAAGATTAAAATGAAAAAAAAAACTGGGTCCCCAAGTGTACAATCTTTCGTGCTAAGGAGTTATAACGATTAGTCAAGACTAAACAACATGCCAGCGGTGTCAATACATTGTTAATGTTGGACTCCGTGTTTTCTTACCGCGCTCGACATCTTGGCCACTTCGAACTGAAAGCGCGCCATCCAGTGACCAAAATTTTAACCCACATGTAAGATGACCCTGATGGGACAAAGTTCATTTTACATTGTGGCGTTTCTCTCACAATACTCTATTTTCTTAGAAAATGAAATACATTGGAAGAATCCTTTCCCCCTAAAATAGCATTTTTATTGCAATAAAAATTCAAAATTTCTTGCATACTCTGACAGGTAAAAAGCGATGTGATAAATGCGTTTCGTTTGCAAATGTCTTTTTAGGGCTGTTGCGCCCCAACTACAGCATCAGTCCCAACTATAGTTGGGCCCGTCCCAACTAGAGTACTACATTTGGCCCGGCCCAACTACAGCAGAGAGGTCCTGTGTGCATGATGTGCCCGGCATGTGCCAAAGTCATATTGTTTACAAATGTCATGTCATTGGTCATAGGTGTAAGTGCCACAATTTTGATGAATTGTGTCCAGCGTGAGACACATTGACTTGGATGATGTTGAGACATTTCCCACAGACATTGGTCAACAACAGTTGGGCCAGCCCAACAGCAGCACTACAGTTGGGACTGTTCCAACTATAGTTGGGACTTATGCTATAGTTGGGTCGTAACAGGGCCATCAATCAGACAATGTTCCCTGCGTTTAATTTTGGTTAGACAGAATTTGCTTGCGCACGTGCGCGGATCGCGGTGAATTTTCACTTATCTTCAAGTTTATCACTTTTTTAGAAGGCTTTTACTGGCACATGATCATAACTTGGGTAGGTAAAAGTTTGAAATACTCTTTGAAAGCTAGAGGAGTTGGAAATTGTAAACGAAATCCAGTAATTACAGGCAGGATCTCGTCGATTGTTTTCCCATTACCACGAACCACTGAGGTAGAAAGCACGAACAGATGCGTACAATGAATGCTGGTACACTGGTAGTGGCTTGGCTTGTAAAACGTAACCAACTCCGACGCCAACTATTGTTACACCTACGAATCACTAGAATTTAAAGTGAAATATTTTGCAACTTAAAAGAGAATATAGCTGGAAATAACCAACACTATACAAGACTTTACATGACTTCTGGAGATGAAGATACACAATATGGTAATCTTCCCATGTCATGAACCTAGAGTGCTGGATATTTCTAGCAGTGTTGGGTCCAGCTTCAATCAGCTTTTAATAGTAAAACAGTTGCAAAGCATTGTGATTTTTGGTGCCAAAAAATCAGCGGTGTGTAGGCCTACCGGGAATCGGACCCAGTGGTTGCAACTGCTAAGTAGCTTGCAATCCACACTGAGACCTACATACCCAAGCTAGTGATATTCTGTCACTGAATTTAGCATATAGCAGTTTTGGGTAAGTTAGGCCTACGATGGCTGTGTTGGTGCTGTGTGCTAGTGAAGTGAATAAGTAATTGAAGTCAGTAATCACTAGGAAATATTGCCTTGACCTGGGTCAAATATTACATACAGTGTGACAGTTCATGGAGAAGCATCTTGTGACTTGAATTCAGTTTGAAGATCTTGTGTATCTTATATTGCGATCGTCTTCTGTGGTCTTAAGACGTCTTGGCCACAGTAGTGATTATTGTCCTGAACTTTATATGTAGCTGCTTGCATTTAACTAAACTATGTTGTCGTAATATTACACAATTCATGCTTTTTTTTTCGTTTATTCACAAGTGTACTGACTGATACACATCCTTCAAATCACATTTATCATTCAAATTACATTTATCATCCTTATACATGTATGCACCATTTTCTTCATTTAAAGCATTTCGTGTTGTGCCTTTCTTTTCAACAGATGGAAGTTGTTCTGAAAAGCATCTATCGAAATTTGTTCCTTGTGCTGGCAAGACAAATTTTGAAGCTGATCAACAGGTAAGCTAGTGTGTACACAGCTGAGCCAGTTGACTCACTCAGAAACTTGCTTGGCCTAATGGCTTTACTGCTGAAGCAGCCTGACTGTTTGGGCAAGTCTGCTGTTTGCAGTTGACTGTAAAGGCACGCCATGTAGATATGTTACGCCCTGTGTCAACTGCCCCAACTGAGTGGGTATGCCCAACTGTGGTTGACAAGAAACACTGCATGAGAAAAAGGGCATGGGAACGAAAAAGGCAAGCAATAAGTGACGTGAAGTTGTATTGAGGTTAAGATAGGAGAAAGGGAACACAGTCAGTTTAAAAAAAAAGACTAATTCCAAGATAAATGAACAACAGTGGGTAGAGAAGAGAGCAGAATCATTGAAATGTTACAATGTCAGTTGCAAACAAAACAACAATTCAGCCAACCCCAACCGTGGTGTAAAATCCCTTTTAAACATTGGTAAGAGTTCAGTTTTTGCAATTTTCTTCTACAGTGAAATCTCAATAAGTCGAAGCTCAGGGGAATGGACGAAAAGTTTGAGTTATCCGACGTTCGAGTTATCTAAAGTTACACGCTTCATTACATATGTAACCTTACTGGCTTACGGCAGCTGGCCTGCAAGTTGAGTTGAACACGAAGTGGATTTCAGGCTATCCCTACTGTGCAAGATTTCCTCAAACATCATCATTAAACATGTTTTCACGTGGTACATCAATAAACAATAAACCAATGAAGTTATGTACCTGTACCTGTGTCTACATCCTGAGAATTCATTCATTTGCTTTGCATGACTGGGCTGTTACCGCGTAACGCAGCGCACGGGCCAGTCGGTCAGGGTTTCCGTGCTGATTCACGTGATACATGTACAAAGAGCTTGAGGGCGCATCATTCGTGCCTGATTTAGGCTGCATCTGAATGTCTTGTCTAGAGCTAGGTCTTGGTATTCACTTCATTGGAAATGCATGGAGATGCGCAGACAATAGACATAGCCGTAGCTCTGGAAGCCTGTTTCGGACACGGCCTTATTTTACGGTTGCGGTTGATGCCCACCCAGTGCTTGTCGACGTGACAATAGCAGCCCGTGTGAACATGCTCGGCTCATCAAAGAAAAGTCGTGCTCGTGACAGTAATGACTCATAATGAAGGCAAGCGTTCTTTCATCACTTTTTATTCATCATTCTTCAGTTTTTTGTTTTAATTTGCCTGCCAAAACTTTGACATATGCGGCTTTAGTGGTATTCACGTTTCGAGTTATGGATAGTTTATTGTACATAAAGGCCTATTCTTTTGTCAGGAATACAGAAAGACGTCGAGGTAAACAGAGTTTTGACAGGCTTCGACTTACTGAGATTTTACTGTACTGTGGTCTTTTTATATTTAATTTTGCTGGATAACCAAAATTGGGCAGTTGTCACAGCTGGGGTATAATAGATAGACTGTCCATTGAGGTACATGTAACTCAACTGGCATTTTTTTTTGGGGGGGGTGCATTTTTATCACTGGATTTCACGATACTGATTGAAAAATACCTGGGAATGTCATTGAAATAAAAATGGAATCTTTGCATTGAGGAATCTACTTTGTCTGACATGCACACCATTAGAAATATTTTGCTAGCTTGAAAACTGCTGGGCATAAGCATAGGATGTGTGGGCTTACTCCATCCCTGCACAGTTGGTTGATTTTGTTACACTATAGGTCATAAGAGGGAAATAAAGTTGGATAGTGTGATAGCGCGGCGCAATCTTGCTGATCAACCCAGTACAACTTTCCAAGCCGAAAATATTGACCAATCTAATTTTGATTTTTGGAATCAAAGGCAATAAACTTAAATCACAAAGGATTCACATAATCAAGGTGTCACAGCAGCAAAATTGTTTTGATGGTTGAGTTGTCATATGTCACAGTGAACAAAGAGTATGGGTGGATGCACTTTCAGAATACATGTACATACATGTACTTGTATGCTGTAGAGAAGGTGCAAACAAACTTGGTAGTGTTACAGTCACAGTATTGGGCTGATTACCTGCTGCAAGTAGGAGAATGTATGCACCTTGATGCCTGGACTGGACTTGATATCATGCTTTGTACCAGCTCAGGGAAAGAATTCATTGTCACTTTTTAAATGTGCCGCAGTCCTACCCATTGAGGTCATATTTCATTGATTTTTTCTTCTCAGTGTTATGGGAAGGACGACATCTCGAATCACCATGCTACATTCGAATATCCTGGACCAGTCCCCTGCCGGAAAGCTTACCAGCCAGCAACTACTGAAGCACTGCATTGATGCCCAGAATAACCAGCCTTCTTTGCTGAAGAGGAGTTTCCGGTCGCTCCTGGGCGACACTGTGGATAGAGCCGAGGGGAGGGACAACACATCCATTAGGATCATGCAGTGGAATGTGTTAGCTGATGGTAAGTTGGCTTGAAGTTTCTTCTTTGCCTTACAACCAAGGTGATGATATTTGAGAGATGCAATAGCTGTGTTGGTTGTACAAATCAAATGTGTCTTGGTTCAAAATCAAATTCCGTTTAAATTGTTTGAAGAAAAAAGTATGGTATAAAGAGAAATTTATGGTGTAAATTACATTTATATATTTAAGTTTTTGAAACCCCTCTCTCGTAATAATATATGCCATGTGTGACATTCCATATGAACAAAATAAAGTTATAATTCACACAGAACATTTATTGTTGTCAAAATGCATTTTTGTAGCTTTGTTACTGGTCTTGATGAACTGTAACATTAAATAAATGTGTTGTTAGACCAGATTAATGCAAGTAACAAAATGTGATATCATCGTCACTGACAAGAAGCAACATAAGGGCTGGTAAACAAGCAAGAAACTTGAACAGAAAGCCCCATCAGACAGAGGGCAGGTGTAAAAGAGGAACAGGCACAGACATGTCAGGAATTCTTCAAACTTCAACGGTAATGGTATGTCACCGTTTGAAAGTGGGACAGGAGCTGAGAAAAAGCCGTAGGCTGAATGCCTGGGACTCTGACTGAATGAAAGTTCTTACGTAGGTTGTGGGGAAAGTCACTTCACATGGGCCGGGTTCAGACATGCTCCATACCTGAACATATCTACAGGTACATTGGAAAGTTTCATGCTTCCAACGACGACAATACAGCGACACTACCTAGGCTCCCTTCCAAATCTGTAGATATTTAATACTGAGGAATACTCACTTGTCTTATCTAGCACTCAGCAAAGGAGCGGACAATTTCATCAAGTGCCCCAGGGAAGCCTTAGAGTGGGACACTAGGCGGGTCTCCTGCCTCCGAGAGATCTTGACCTACGACCCTGATGTTATCTGCCTCCAGGAAGTGGACCACTTCCACGACTTCTTCAAAGTACAGCTGGAGCGGGTGGGTTACAAGGGAGTCTTCAAAGCAAAGCCGGACTCCCCTTGCCTGGACTGCTTGAGCAACAATGGCCCGGACGGATGCGCTGTTTTCTACAAACTGGAGAAGTTTTCCCTGGTCAATAGTATGTGCCCTGTCTTAGAGGTGAAAGATGGGGGTAGCACATGGCCCACCAATCAGGTGGCAGTCCTGTTGCGGCTGAAGTGTAAGGCCGTTGAGGACCATCATGAGAAGGAGTTGGTTGTGGGCACCACTCACCTGAAAGCCAAGGCAAGCTGGCATCAACTGAGACATCTTCAAGGCTTGAACCTCCTTGAAGTCCTTCAGCAACAGGCTGGCGGCTGTCCACTGATTCTGAGTGGAGATTTCAACGCTGAGCCATCTGAGAATGTCTACAAAGCCTTTGAAGCCAGCAAGATGGGGCTAGACAGCGTTTACAAGAACCTCAGTGAAGATTGCAATTCTGAGCCTCCCTATACCACGTGGAAAATACGCCCCTCAGGGGAGGTGTGTCACACTATAGACTATATGTGGTACACTCAAAACCAGTTGTGTCCAGTGAAGATTTTGGAATTGCCCTTGGGAGAACATTTGGGGAAAGACAGACTCCCATCACACACGTATCCCTCAGATCATTTGTCGCTTGTTGCAGATTTTGCATTCAAATCGTAGTGGGGTACTCTCAGTATGATTTCTCCACCTCCTGCATTTTTTTTATTTGCGAATGTAAAATATACAGGCAAATTGTGTTAGATGTCTTTCAGAATTTGAGGAACGGCTGCACAGGCATTTGGCAGCTGTCTTGAGCGAGAAAAGCCAAGAACACTCTCGTTGACATTTTACGGGTGTAGATTTCTTTCTGTCATAAGTAAGGTTTGATTTGAAACTATGCATGGTGGAAAACATCTCTCAGTATTTCTACCACGTCTTTGTAAGCAATTAATGCATTTTATTTTGTGTACATTTAAGTGAAACCTGACCACAGGGGTTTCACATTTGCTGTGTGCACCATTTATGAGAATCAAACAATGCAACAGGTATTTATCTGGTCGCAGATTAATGCAAGATTTACCAGGCTCAGGTCCTCCAGTACATTAATGGCCTTCCATAAATACCAATCACTTTTTTGAAATATTAAAATTTTTAATTTATCCTTTAAAATTCCACTCTTGGAAAAGGTAACAAAGCATTTTCTTTTAACCCAGGGCATTACAAAATCTTTATCTGCCTGTCTCTGTGGCTGATTTGTGCTCTAAGAAATAGTTGCTATGTATAGACTTCAATTTGAGCACAACTACCTCAGATGGAAAATTTACATTAGGATGTAGAAATCCAGATTCATAAAGCTTTATGACGAAAATGATGCTGTTGGAAGGTTCAGAAATTTAAAAGACGCTATACCCTGCAATAGCATACAATAATAGTTGTAAAAATTTGCATACACTGTAAAAAAAAGTTGAGAAGAGAAAAATCAAATTTTATCTTGATGTTTGCAAATTTAAAAAGATACATTAACCCTACTTACTGTACACAAGAAATAGCTGTGAAAACTGTAAACTGAAAGAGAAATGTTCAAGAGAAAAAAGGAATTTCTGTTTTACACATTTATCAAATGTAGGAAATCTTAAGAATTTAGTTAAAAGCAATACAGGATACATGTTAAAAATGATGCACCTGAGTGCTCCTAATGTTTGTGAGGGGATAGAATCGTTCAATAACACAATATTCCTAAATATTTTACTTTGGATTTGGTGTGTTTTTATAACACAGAAGCAAGAACATGTTTGAGTAAAATTTTGACATAAATATATAAAATTAAGCTAGGAGATACAATAGGTATTTCCCAGTGGTGTAATCAATTATATAGGAATTGTTTAATCAAATATCATTTAACCACCATTACAAATTAATAACTGTTAAATCAAATGTCAGTTAATCAGAATTACAAAAATGATACTTAGACACACACCTGGCAGAATGACCTCAGCAGTTGTTTAACAGGTATCAGGAAAAATCCCTTTTCTACTGGAATGCCAAGTTAAAGTAAGAGATGTCAAAAAGACCAATGGCCTACATGTATGTACAGAAATAGCAACTGAAAAAGTGTTAGCCAATTAGTCTGTGAATCACATTGACGTGATCGCACATAGTACAGTGATACCACTGTGCATGTAGTACCATCTTAACTCTCTTGTTATTATTTATGAACATGTACTCTTGTACTTCTGAACAGAAACATAGTTTTAATAATTTTTGTTTTGAACATATCACTACTGCATTTTGTACTTTGAAATGAGCTTTTATGCCAAGTGTTACAAAGGACTGGTGTACTGTTGTAATCAGGGGTGTGCGAATTCAGCTTTTTAGCTGATTTCAGCATTTTGTGTAGATGCTGATCCTGGATTTCAGCTTTTTTGTACACCTGGTCTGTACAAAAGTATGGGAAATTTTTACATTTCAGCATTTTGCTAGCAGTTTTCAGCTTTAGTTTCAAGCGGCCACTCACACCCCTGTGTATTAAATGTTTTGATGAAGTCAGTACATTCACTTTCTTCGTGTAAGTTCTACGTCAAAAGCTGTCATTCTCCCACCTTAATGTGATATTACTGTAACCACAGTGCCAAAGGAAGACATTGTGCAATAAATGTCACTACATGTATATTGACTTCATTGATCTTGTCAGTTATTCTACATGCCCCATACTGTAGCAGTTGCATTCTCACCCCAATTGATGTAATTTACCATACTGTAACCTCAGTGCCAAAGGGAGACATTGTGCAATAGATGTTTGTGCTAATTTGCAACAACTGAAGACAACTCCTTTTCAATTTTGATTCAACTTTTGGTTGGTTTGCTTTCTGTTTGTTTTCCTTTATTTGTAACAAATTTGCACCCAAAGCAGTGACTTATTAAATGTAACTGTACCTGCAAGATTTGTATATTCATACCCAGTGGGCCATATTGGCTACATTGTGAAAGATGAGCCAGACACTAATGGGACAGGTAAACATTTTGTATCAATAATTGAGCAATTTATGCATATCACCATAAACAAGGCCTGCCTATTTCACATTACAAAATTGTAAATTCAATTACAGTTATTGGTTTCCATGAAAGGCCTCGTCATCAAAAAACTTTTTCAAGGGGAAAAAACTACATCTTTCTTTACGCATCATCATCCACTTGTATTTTTCCACGACTGTAGTATTGAAGACGAGTGCAAAAATTGATGCATTCTATTTGTAAATTATGGTTTAAGAAGTAAAACCTTCAGTGCAATTACACTTCATGTCATTATAATGTTTGGGTGGTATTGAGAAACTAAGGCATATCACAGGTGGTTGTAAAGTACACCCAGAATGTAATCAGTTTACAGTTCTGAAAAATATACCATGTATATCCACGATTTACTTTCAACAATCTATGTTATACTGTACCCATCCCTCTCCCCTCCCTAAAAAGGGCAAATATTTGTTTTTGAAATAAAATAAGATGACATTTCTTTGGTAATGTGATTTCCTTCCTTTCCAAAGCATGCAAAAAGCCCCCAAACGTTGCCTCATTACTGAGAATAGCCTTGGTCAAGGCGTTCGTCATTCGTCACATCGCAGCACGCACCAGCCACTCAAAATCAAGGCGAAGAGCAACTTCCCACGGTCTAAGAAATATGTGTAAAGAAATTCTTAATGTCATCCCCTGCCCTCCCTCCCCTATTTTTATTCTGCACTTGACAATGGGGAAATGTTTTATTCAAACACTCTGCTGAGTGCCTCCTGCTATGGACTATAAAATGTGTGTACAGTTGCAAATATAGAGTGTACATGTTCATGTGTACAGTGATCTACGAGTTCATCCCATTGTTGTTACTTCTTCCCTGGTACTTTGCTCCCTGTTTCCTTGAAATAAACCAGCTTTGTTAAGCCCATCCATACTGGTCTACACTAAAAACTCGCCAAATGTCCAGTGACACTCAACAGTACTGTTATTTTTGACGTGTCAAAGGATCGGCATAAACTAGATTATTCGGAGTACAAGTGTGACATTCTGCAAAAGCCAAAGAAAAAGCAATAGGAATCCTCAACATTTTGAAATTTACAGAGTGTCCATTTTCATCATACCAAACTGAGAGCCGAGTTTTTCAATCTAATTCAGGAACTGGTGAAAGCTCATTGCATTATGGTGTCAGTAAAGAACCATTCCTCCAAAATAAATGCCTCTGAAGAATGCCAGTTACAACTGAACTACATTTCAACATTCCTGTTTTATTCACAGAATAACTCCTTCAAATCACATTATCCAAGTCCACCATTTATTTTAAAACCTTGTGAATTTAAACCAAAAATAGATCTACATGTAATATGGTCTTTCATTGGGTAGTCAACATTTATAGAAGCCTGAGAATCGGCACTTTTGCTTTTTCACTGATGGTATCATGTTGGTGGTATATGATCCAACGATAATCAACAACTTCCCATGATCCTTGCTGGGCATGTGCCTGAATTGCGCCCTCTAACTTGTCACTCCACTCCTCCGCTACCTTGGTGCTCATTGTGAACATGATGTGACCACCTTAGGGAGTGAATCAAAGATACACATTTGTTAATTAGTCGGTCGATGCAAGCTTTAGCCAGGCCCTTCATGATGACCGGGTGAACTATAAGTGTACTCTGATATTCGCAGATACGAGTCCCTAAAATCCTGTCTCATCTCTCCTGAAGAAATGATGTCAACTTTCTACTCTGTACCTGGTTTTGTAATTCGAATGAGCTCCGGGAAGCACGCATCAGTCACATGACCAGGAATACCAAAAGCTCCACTCATGACGACGACATCATAGTGATCTGATTAAAAAAAGTACACTGAGCACATAAAAAGAAAGCACATAAAAAGAAATCACGCCAAAGTTTGTCTGTTTTTTTATTAGAATGTCATACAGCCTAAAACTTCATTGTTTTGCGACTAATACTGGTACAGTTGCTGGATATGATTCGATGAAGTGTTCGTATTGAAACGTACTATAGACGTGTATCTGCCTGTTTATTAATCGGCTAGTTTTCTATACCATACCATCCGGAATTTTCGTCTGGTGGTCATCTAGTGTGTCGCATATGTACTCAGTGTAGCACTGATGTTCCTTACTCTTGTCCAAGGAAACTTGAGAAGGTTCCAGGGCATCAATGTGAATGAAGCCACGCCTCTTGAGCTGAAAGCAAAGAACAAAACATGTCAAGACTAATTGTTCATTGTTGTTTTCTTACTTTCAGCCTATTTGTATTGTTTCATGTTGTTTCCTGTGGACACCAAAGCTCTTCCCCTAAGAAAAGGGGAGGGGAAATAGTCAACTGATTTACTGAAGCATGTATGAATGGTGCTCCTTTTTTATGGCATGGCATATGGACCATGTTGACTTTGACCCTGATCTGAGGTCACATGAATATGTACTGTTCTACCGGTGGCTCCACATGTTGAACTGACAATGTTGACAATTTTTAGGGTATCCAAATCACCGATGGTGGAACTGGGAGGGTGTAAAGGTAGCTATTTTCCTCAACTTTTCCCAAGCCATTGGAGGTACTAAAACATTTACCTCCCCCCACTAACAAATATTGTATCTGCCCCTGTTCAGGCTTTCCCTCTCCCCTCCACTTTGAACACCGTTCCACTGGTCCACTTAGCCAAATGGAAGTCCTACCAATTCAGACTATCTAACCTCTTCTCCAACCATTCCTATTCCAGACGCTGCATCCAGGATCTTGGCCGATTTATCTCTTATGACGTCAGACACAAGGGCAGCCAGATTGGCAGGACCACAGTAACCCACACTGAGATTTTGCTGACAAGGAGAAAGTATAATACGATCCTTGACAGGCCTTCAGCTGGCAGAAAGTGACAAGCTAGGTGAGGAAAACGAATCTCGTAAAGACCGTTTAACTTTTTCTTTAAGTCTCCCCGGGGCTTTTCAGGGAACCAATCAGTGATCAAAATGCTTGAAACCATATGCACTACATAGAGAATTCGGCTATTAAGTGTGGTGATCAAGCACACTTGTAGACCGTGTTCGAGGGAGACCAAATTTCAGGCGTATTCCTGAACGTACTGACCCTTAATGGGATGGTACTGGGTGATTTTGGGTTTTGCAATGAAATTATAGAAGAGAGTCTGGTTCTTTAAATTTAACATTTCCAAATGAACTATTTTTGGGAATCTGACTGATATTGGGTCCCCCACAAATATGATCTGTTAGATATGCAACGCCGTGATACCACAGACACAAAACTACCATTTTTTCAAAGATTTTTACATGAAACGGCCACACCCATATTTCTACAAGATTCCCAAGAAGTAAGGCATCCTCTATGATAATAGTGAGCCCACACTAGGCTTATTGTCTGTCCTACGTACGGTAGGGCCTAGAAACATTGTAAACATATTTGTCAGTAAACCTGTTCAATCTTTGAGCATCATGGGATTGGATGACAAAGAAACTGCTTAGGATTCAGACCCTTTATCAAACCAATCTCAACGGTTATACAGTGTAGAGTTGATGATTTGGAATGAAGTTATTCACAAAAATAAAATTCTAATGCTCATAAAAAAAGGAAATCAGGGGAATGCCTGGCATGACCACAAATTTCCGTCTTCGACCAAGATCTTGAATTTCAAGCTAGGCCGTACATTATTAATAGTACATACAGGGAGAGCTGATGTGATGAGCATTTTTTTTATGAATTGATTGTTCACTGGTTCACTTCCCCATACTTTTTAGGGCCTGTGTTCATGCACAAAATTCATAGCTTGCTCGTTATAGAATCGCTTGATGCAAGAATGTCGAAAAAAGTTCTAGCCTACCTCCTTGTAGTGATCTGCCCATTCATCATAAACTTGAACCAGTTTCTCCCCACCTGAAGGATGGGCGTAGATTTGGCTCCGAAAGTGGTGAAAACCTTCGACACTTTGCTCTGACTCGTTCATTTGTAACGCAAGACTAGACAGATTCTCAGTTATCAATATCCATTCACCCTTGATCGCCAGGGAGTAAGCCTGATTGCAGAATACCCCGCCACACAACTGTGTGCAAGAACACTGTGTTCAACAACAGACGTGACAGTGTTGATAAAATTTTATTCTCCCCAACGACTCTTATTAGTAATACGCACACCTTGACTTGACTACACGTCTGACCATAATGTCTGTGGTCACTGCAATGGTAAATCAGAGCGCCCTCTACATCGCTGTCTCGCAGCTTGTGTTTTTTTTTATCGAGAACTAGCATGCGATGCTTGACGTCTATGGTTAAGTTGGAGCCGCACGTGTGACCCAGTGACATCACGTAAATAACATACATGGTTTTACTTTGACAAAGGCGGGGTGGTCCAAAAGTGGACATGTTGAAATTTGAAAGGAAAGTTTTCTCCCTATACTTTGAAATGGAATGGTCTTAGGAAGATTGGCATTACCCGTAGCCCCCAAAAAATAATGTGGACGAAAGTTGTAAAGCGGCTACCGGAGTGACGGTCCCTTGTAGTACCGCAAACTTGCGGAGCCAGCCCATTTTATTGACCCGCCGTCGGTTGACGGGCATCAGGCGTCATTTGGACATTCCCCTGCTGTGAATGTGATAGGCCTTTTTCATGCAACAATTTAGCTGATTTTGTGAAAATGATCGGGCCTTTTCAAGTCAAGGATGTGAATTTTATGGGATGTATTGAGGGGAGGATTATTTTAAAGGAAATTATTGAAAAATAATATGTCCAATATGGACGAAAATTGTGAACTAATTATGGTGGAATTTACTCGGAGTGCCAAAAATGAGCAACCAATTTTTTATTAAGATATAAGATTTATTATATAATCCACCATCCATGCATTTCACAGTACATGTATCCGATGACTGCTCTGGGCTGTCACTTGCAAGTTTGTGTTTTCATAGCGTTTATATCTCTTCACATTGTCACTTTGAATCACTTGTCTTCATATTAATGACCCAGTCCTCCACTGTAACTGCCCACTCGTATTTGATGACCTGAACAAAGATTTGAATGGTTAAATGGAGAAAAGAAATGATTTGGAATTATTTTTGAACTTCCTAAAAGATCAGAACTTTTTGTATTTAATATAAAACTGAAAAGCGGAGAACAGTGACTAAACTTCAACATGAAGTGCGTGTTCATGCCCTAACATCTGTATCATGATAGTGTCAAAGCAACCCCCATCAGGGCCATATGGTGTCCAGCAACCACCCTCCCCTTTTCCGAATTTCAGAGCCGGGCAGTTCTGAGATTTAATTCATCTCCCATACCCTTGTCCTCATGCAGCGAAGATTCACGCCACTGGTCGGAATTGGTTAGAACAAACCAGTTCAGTTAAGAGCCTGAAAGCTGCCCTTCGGTGGTCATAATTATTTTGCGACCAATTGCTTCCTAAAAATCACCTTTGAAAAAGGCCTTTGTGAAATAATAAAGTGAAAAAATTGGCGGGTGGAGATATTTTTATCAGCGGTGCAAAGCGCAGTGATGTACTGTAATATTGTCGACTTTCTTTCTTTCTTCGGTCAAGTGCTCACAAAGAAATGCAGTATCTTCCAAATTCATTCATCTATTTCAGCCAGAATCTACGTTGGCCGAATTCTCATGTGTAGTGACTAGCATCTTTGACCAGTGGTTACCTTGTGGTCACTAGTGTTAATTTTCTTCAAAATTACAAAATGCTTCTTCCACAACCTTGGTCCAATTCTTGTGAAACTTGGTCAGTGGCATGTCTTGACAAAACCTCATAAAAGTTGTTCACGGAAGTTGGCCAGTGGTTATAAGTGGTCATTTTCTTTAAAATTACAATTTCCTTCTTCCACAAAATTGGTCCAATCATGGTATTGTCAAACTTGGTCAATGATATCTCTGGACCGTCACAAAATGTGTTCATAGTGGTCAGAAATGGTCATTTTCTTCAAAATAACAAATTGCTTCCCCCCAGTCCTGGTCCAGCTACTGTCAAAATTGATCATTTACAGCTTTGGAACAAGCCTCAGATTGGATGTTCATAGAATTTGGCCATTGGTCACCCACTACTGGCCAGTTTTGTTATATCTATCGGTATCTGCCACCTTCCTTTGCCGATTTCAGCCACATCTGGACATAATCTTCCTTGACAGGATTCCTGTTCCTAATTGACCAGTGTACAGGGTCAATGGTCACCTAGTGCTCACAAGTGGTTATTTGCGTTAAAAATACAAAATAACTTTTCTCACCCTAGTCATGACTCAGTCAATCTCAAATTAGGGCGATTACATCTTTGTAGGAAACACCATGCGGGTGGTTAACAGAATTTGGCCGATGGTCCTTTGAAGATGGTTTATTCAAGGTAGTTGATGGAAGATTCTGATGCTTCATAATTAAATTTTAGTGTGGGGTGCATCTTGTTCATGTCAGCGACAAGGTTTTGAAACTCAGGGTTCCGTTGTATATGACTAGTATATCGTCTCTGTAACGCCACCAGGTGAGGACGGTTGGGCACCTCCTCTGTTACTCTGTTTTTGAGGTAGTGCATTGTGATATCGCATATTTCTGGGCTCTATGTGGATCCCATTGAGCAACCGATTTTCTGGAGAAAGTGTTTGCTTCCGAATCGGAAACAACTGCGGCTGAGAATGAGCTCCAGGAATTTGTGGATGTAGTCGGTTTGTGGTTTTGTGATCGAGTATTTGTGGTTGGTGTTGTAAAGGCGTTACATACACATTGGATTGCTTCGTTTTGTCAAACGTTTGTGTACATGGAAAAAAATCTATGCTGGTAATTAGGCTGTTTTGTTGGAATTTTCTCCCTTCAAGTTTGTGTAGTATGTCTGATGTGTCTTGGACATACGTAGGTTGTGCGGTGGCTATGGGGAGAAGGAAGTAGTCGATGAACTCTGCTATTTTTGCTGTTCGGCTGGTGCAGCCGCTTATGATTGGTCGGCCCACAAATGGTTCTCCTGGTGGTGGAGGTTTGTGTATTTTCGAGAGAAAGTATATGGTTGGGCATTCACACTTTTATTTGTGTGGATGGAGGTAGTTTAGAGTATCATTGTCGATATGTTGGTTGTTTCTCATTTCTATTGGTAGATTATGAACCATTGCTATGGTTTGTGGGGTAATGTCGTGGTCCAGTTGTTTATAGTGATGGGACTCAAGATGGCTGTAGCCCAGATGTAGGTATAGAGTTGTAGGGGTAGGAGAAAACGGGACCAAAACGAAAACCCTCCTATAGGCCTACCTACCCGACCCCTTTTTTCAAAAATCAAAAACTCGAACCCGGCAACATTGAAAAACCCTCTTATACCCGACCCTTTTTCAAAAATTTAAAAAGTCGTTACATTTACACCCTTAAAACATCAGAAAACCACCCGGATTTTAAGGACAACATTCAATTTTGCCGTCCCCGGTTTTCGGATCACTAAACAGGGGTTTGGTAGGTATAGGAAGGTTTTCGTTTCTTTCCCGTTTTCTCCTACCCCTACTACTACCGTCACTAAAATGAATGATTATTTGACACCCACAGGAGCGTTTTTTTTAAAAATTGAATAATTATTTGACACTTGCAGGAGCGTTTTAAAAAATTGACTGATTATTTGACACCTGCAAGAGCGCTTTTAAAAAATTGAATGATTATTTGACACCCGCAGGAGTGGTTACAAAACGAAAGCGAAAAACGAATTATCGGTTAACCGAAAATTATGAAAAAATTTCCTAATGTTTCTCTAAAAGTCAAATGGATCCAACTTTTGCCACTAAATTTGTCGCGGAAAAACGGCGGATAAAAATGAAGAATTTTTTTGAATGGTATATAATGGAAGTTATAACTAAATAATGACATCGAATCAAAACTCCAAACCAAACGGATTACAATATAAGCATAATCTCCGCGGATATAATTTATGGGAAAAAAGTTCTTAATGAAATATATCATCGCCCATAATATCACTTTACCGCAACCACGGCAGCCTCTGTTACTGTACAAACGCAATGAATTGATACAAGTGGTGAAAAATTACTCAAAGCAGTTTCAAAATTTACCTCGTAAATTGATCGACGAGTTACTCAAATTGGCTGATGACAACAATTTACATCTGATTGCTACTGGACGGCCAGGTCAAATTTTAAAAAGGGTTTTAATCACCGCGATTTAAGATTTTATCAATCCGAAATTATTTCGAAAATTAGACGTACGCAACGTAAAGCGATTCCAAGGCAACTACCGAAATTGGGAATTAATTCCGCGGTTTTTTAATGACGATGCAGTTCAATTTTTCATTACGCACAAGAAAGATATTGAAAAATTGGCATTGAATGAATTGAAGGAAGTAGGGGCTTATTGTTTACAAACGGGTAGTAAAAGAAACGACTGGAACAGAAAGATTTTGTCACTGAGAAATCTACCTTTTTATCAAAAGTAGCAAATGTTAACCTGTTAAAAATGCATTAGAAGAGTAAAAACAGCAATTGGGCAATATGCGCTGCCTTGGGGTTATATTCAGACAAAGTCAAACGTGCAATCAAGAAAAATAAGGATTACAAAATACATCGAGAAAGAATAACGACATATAACACGAACGAATTAGATTTCACCGGGATAGATTTCCCCACTCCAAAGAATCAAATTCCCAAAACTGAATTGCAAAATAACCTATCGATTAATTTATACGGCTACGACCGAAACAAAGGCACGTTTCCTACTTTGTATTTATCTAAAAACTTTTCGACAGACAGACGTGTAGACCAACTACTATTCGACAATGGACACATACAACATTATTGCTAGATTAAAAAACATGTCGAGAGTCATTTCAAACGTAATCAATAATCACAACGGCCGAATTTATCGATGTCGAAAATGTCAATGTATTTTTCACAAAGGAGACCGCCTAGGAATAGACGTCCCGATTACTAAAGTCATTTTGTCGTGTGAATATAACATATTAAAATTTAAATTGAGAGACTACAAAAATAAACCGCCGTTTGTCATTTCTTCCGATTTTGAGTCGATCTTAGAACCGATGCCCTTAGAACCGATGCCGCTTACCGACGGCAACGCCGTTAAAACGCATCGACATATCGCTTCGGGGTATTTGTATTGCATCAAACGATGCGACGGCGTTTGCTCAAAACGGGTAACTTACAGAGGGCGCAACGCGGCAAAATCGTTCATTAATTTGCTGTTGGCAGACAAACAGGAAATTAAC